TAAATTTAATTAAGATTTGTGCATAAATTGTGAGAAAATATTTTTGTAAAGAAAAATTAGCCTTCATCCTCTAGCAGATGGAAAATAGTCCATTTGTAGTTTTAGAAAACTACAAGTAAAAAACTACAAAGGGACTATTTTCCATCTGCTAGAGGATGATGGCTAATTTAAAATTCTTTGTCCCTTCCCACCCCCATGTTAGAACAAAGTAGCCTAAAATTTTGATTGGAAACAGAAGAAAAATTAAAATTTTGTTATTCCCATTTACACTACAGGTAGGTTTTATTTTGCATTCATGATCAGAAAACAGAACTGAAGTAATATATCAAACACGAAGGACGGTGTTTGACCACATTTCCAAACACCYAAAAAAGAGTTGAAAATARGACGRGTAGCYYAGTATTTTTGACYAACTTKGAGMTGTTTYGAAATGTGMTCAAACACTGTCTTGAMTGTTTGATATATCTTCTCAATCGAAACTAAAACTAAGGAGAAAACAGAGAAATAAAATTGTAAAAATCTATGCTAATTAAGATCAGATATCCAAACACTGTCACAGTCATGATTTCCTTTGGCTAAACTTGATGAATTATTAATGAGTTTGAGAAGTTCTTTGTTTATATTTGGGTCTCCCAGTTATTAACACTGCTTACTTTATGTTTTTATTTTTTACCAACAAATAGTACATTCCCATGGCAAGTCCATACCCCACCCCCCACCCCCTCTCCCTAAGTTGGGTGGTAACTTTCATTTCAAAAATTTTGAAATGAAAGTTAAACTAGAATAGTTTCTAGAGAGGAGGGAGGAGGAGTTTCAAACTGAAAATCTTTCTGTGATGAGGGGTATGGATGTTCTCTCGAACAACACAATTCACATAGAAATCTGGGCCTTAATTACTCTCAAATCATGAAGATTACACAAAAATAATTTCACATATAAGTTTTATTTAGAGACTAAGTACAGCCAATAGGGAACCCTCAGTCTATAGAATAAATCATAAAGTCATTTAATTTTATAGAGAAACTTGTTTTTGCCTACTAGAATGTTTTCATTCCACAAAATGGGAGAAGAGTGTTTTGGTACAGTTGTGGACCAACTGTGTATGATGCATCTCATATGGGACATGCAAGGTATTTGATCAATGTTCTATGCCATTTTACATAGAATTGCAGCACATTCTTAGTTCACATACAACTAGCAGTCCTGACCTATATAACATTATTATTTAGAAAACAGTCCTCAGAAAATACATGCAACGACCATGTTTCTATCAAGTTAAAGGAACACTAGTGAAACTTTGGGAGAACTCAAAAAAGCCTGTGGTTCATATTCCCACAGCATTTCTCGTTCTCCCAAACTTCCACTTGTGTTTCTATAACTCGATAGAAACACGCTACATGTTTTCCATTTCTTAAATGCAAATTAGACACTGATTTTTGTTCATGCATGGTGGAGAAGAATTTCATGAGTTCTCAAAGCATCTTTAGTTTATAGGATCACTCTCAACAGTCTGATACCATGACATTTGAGTCATGTTTGATAATCAATCATTCTTGCAAGAGTTACAAGTTTTTATACTGCACCTGAAAACGTGCTACAGTATGAGGTGCTATCCTGTTTATAGCAGAACTTCTTGTTTTTATCAATGTTCACTGTTTCTTTTCCTCATTTCAGGTCGTACATTACCTTTGATATTTTACGAAGAGTGCTTCAGTCCTACTTTAACTATGATGTGTTCTATGTAATGAATATTACAGACATCGACGACAAGGTATGACAGATATAATTCACAAGGTCGAGGGACTACCATCAGTAGCAAAAACATGACATTATTGTAAGGAACTGCAAGAAGAACTGATTCTTTACATTGAATATTTCTTCTAGTTCTTTCTTCTATGGTATGAACAATAAGCACTTATGACTGGCCCTAAGGGAAACAATGAGTTTTGTTTCCCTGAGACCCTCAATGTTCCCCGAGGTGACACAGAGGAGAACATAATTTGAGGGTCGAGGGGAAACAAAACTCACTGTACATGTCTCCTGTGGGGCCAGTCATTAAATGATTTGTTATACCTCCCAACTCAAAACTGAAAAACTGGGAAAAAATAAGATTGCTTGATGGCAGCTGGCAAAACAAATTTGTTGCAGTTTCAAGGTGCACAACTTGAGTCAAAAGTTCATTTGTTTCCCCAGGGAGTTACACTAAGTGAGTTTTGTTTGCCCTGGGACACAGTTAGAGAGTTTTGATGCATGTCACGTGACACATTTTCCTCCAATCAAAAAAGCATATTTGAGTTTGGAGGTATAACAAATCTAGTTCTTGCTGACTGATGTATAAACTGCTAAACTATTGTCCCATGCTTCATTCTCCTAATTAACTGTTTTTGTTGATAATCTCTGACAGATTATTTTCAGAGCAAGACGAAATCACTTACTAAAGAAATATACCGAGGAAGACAATTCTCCAGAAAAGATACTAGAAGATGTAAATACTGCCTTAGAGGTACGATAGAAAAGATTTATAAATTTATTATTAATAATAGCTTGATGTAGAGACTTAATAGTTGCATGAGAGTGAAAAAAAGAATGAATGAACCATACATGTACATATGTTGTTTTGCATTTTAGTAGAGTTTTTTTGGGGAAAGGAGTAAAATAGCAACAGTGCAGAGGTGCTTAGGAATTTATTGGTCCCAGAGAAAACGCAATTCAGATAATTTTTTTGTTTCTAAAAAAACAAAACAAAAACAAAGTAAAATTAAATTCCTACCAAAATAACTGATAAATAATACAGACACATCAATTCCATATTATGGACACTCAACTCTGTTCTTCTGATGTTCTTATTAAGAAGTTAGTCTGTATTTTTTTATGTGAAATTTTAATTGTTTTGTAAAAAAAAACATTTGTAAAATTATTTAGAAAATACATGATTGTACACACAGGTGACTCAGCTTGAACTCAGATACATGTACTTTAAAATTTTTCAGCCTTACTCAGAAAAAATGAAGAATACTACAGATGAAGACAAGAAGAATATGTATCTTAGAATTATTGTAAGTGTACCATCACGCATAGAAAGTGAGAGTGAACCTAATTGTATTGGTATAAATGTACTAGTCATTCAAAACTTGACAAGTAAAATAACTTGATTAGACAACTTCACAGACAATACAAAACACAAACAAGGGGCTGCCATTTTGTTAACAGCTACACACTGCTAGGCTACTCACTCACTTTCTTCAACAGCTTTAGATAGTGAGTAGCATAGCCAGTACGAGAATAGCATTGGTGATAGAATGCTAACTACCTTTATAAATTTTTATTTATTAAATGTGTAGAGCTGTTTTTATGCATAATAATATTGTTATGCTTATAAAACAGGAGTTGGGATGATTTCAAGTGCATATTACTTTTTCTTCAGGAAAAAGTTAAATCTTGCAGTTCAAGATTAAAAGATTTACAAGCCACCAGTGGTAGTTCCGAAGAAGCTGTTAAATCAGCAACTAAGGTAAGAAAGTGATGCTTACAAATATGAAATTTGTTATTTAATTCAAATTCATAGGTTTTTATTTAGTTAACCTTTCATGTTTGTATTGCTTGCTGTCCCAGCTAGCTTCTACAGGAATAGGCCCTTTGCACAATCCAGTCACATGGTACAAAATCACACATGCTGGTGAGCAAGTTGCACAGTGGGACTTCCAAAACAAAGGCAGGTCCAGGCGGACTGGTACGAGTTGCATTGTTTTGGAAGTCCCACTGCGCAACTTGCTCACTAGCATGTGTGATTTTGTACCATGTGACCGGATTGTGCAAAGGGCCTATTAGATTCCATTCACTCAACAACATTTGCATTTTAAGTTTGAGGTTATTATCAGTTTCACCATGTTTGGTGTAGTTGGTAGCGTCGTCTTGACTTTTAATTTATTGGTCCAGTCTGGTGTAAAGACCTTTAAAGAAGCCCATACATTACACTGTCAGTACTAATGACAGGGATTTAAGTCACAATGATTACCAGATAATGTAAATTTGATCTGCGTTTGACAGGAATTATTGAGTGAAGCCACTGAACCTCTCTCTGCCTGGCTAGACTCTCAGGTAGGCAAATGTACTTGTAATGATCTTAATCTTCACACCAGGAGGATAACAATGTGCCTTCAGAGTATGAATAGACAGACTTTTTACCTTTAGAGGCAGATCCAGTATTTTTGAAAGGAGACGGGGGGTGGCTGGTACCTTAATCAGGTTGCAGAATCAATGGAAAAGGTCCACAAAATTGCGTTGAGAATTGGAACCTACGGTAAATGAAAACTGTTACACAGGAAATACTAGTAACATAATTAAAGTGAGATACAGGTCTATGAAGGGTATTTGCCTTTACTACTGCAGCCATAATGTACACAATTTCCAATTATTTTTAATTAATTACTTTTTGCTTCTCCAAAAGCCCTACCCATTGTTTACTGAGTTTTATACTCCTGAGTGAAGAAAGGTGCCATCTCTTGCCAAAGAACACAACTCAATGCTTCATCCAGTGTTGCATGTAGCACAAACTACTTTGTGATGTGCACTCCAGCGCACTATTTGTTAGGCCATTATGTCTCCTATGTACAGCTTACCTTGCAGGTTACTTAATATTTAATAAGAATGAATTCTCTTGATTTCAGTTTGGATCCAATGTGACAGACCACAGAATATTTGCAAAGCTCACTCAGCACTGGGAGAATGAATTTCATGAAGACATGAAAGCTCTTAATGTATGTGTACACCACAAGTCTATTAAAAATAGTGTTTTGCATGCATATTTGTCCTAGTGGAGTTAACATAATAGAGCTAAAGGCATAGCAGTAACCACCCATTGATCATAATGTAACATCTATTACCTAAAGGGTACTATAATCTGCCTTTTTTCTTGTTTTCCTTTAATTTTCAGATCCTTCCTGTAGACTGTTTAACACGCATTACACAGTACGTTCCTGAAGTGGTGACTTTCATTCAGAGAGTCATTGACAATGGATATGCGTAAGTATTGTTATTTGTGTGAATTCGTAATGGAGTTGAAGAGGTCTATTATTGGTTAAAAATGTGGTGTGTAAGAGAGATCATGCAATGGTGTTTTATGTAGGGTGGTGCAAGGGCCTAATGGTTCACCTGCTAAACTGGTTTTAGCTAGTTTGGCCAGTTTTAGCCAGTTTGGTCACTACAATGTGTTCTTTGGGCTTGACACTTTTTGCTTAGAGTGCAGGCCTGCTGACACCCAGATGGATTACTAAGTATCTCATCCAGGTTCGAGTAGAAACTCTCCTAGTTGCTTAATTCCTCAGAAGTCTCCAGGATTAGCTCTGGCCAAATGGAACTCTTTGGTCTCTTACATTACAGGGTGCATAGCCCTTAGGCTAGTTATAGGTATGTAATAGCACTTGCCCAATACATGTAGATTCAGTTATTGTTGCTCACAATAAAATGAACTTCAAGGCTTTTGCAGCTTTTAAACACAACTGCTCCAGGGAAGGAAAGTGTTAAAAAGTGCTTGATACTTACATGCATTAGTAGTCTGTCACTGATAACCTTACGTTCAATAAGCATGAACTTATTATTAATAATAAATGTCTTGCCCCAGGTATGAATGCAATGGCTCAGTGTATTTTGACACCATCAAGTTTGGTTCAAGTGGTAAGCATGCCTATGCCAGGTTAGTCCCAGAAGCAGTTGGTGATCTGGAAGCTTTGGCAGAGGGAGAAGGTATTTTACACTTTGTATACACGGTCATCTTATGAGAAAACAAGAAAATCGTTGTTTTGCCAACTGTAGATTTATGTATTTCATACATTGAGGGGTTTTTTCTATTTTTGTGAATAGGAGAACTCAGTCAAAATCCAGGAGACAAGAAGTCTGAGCGTGACTTTGCACTTTGGAAAGCTAGTAAACCAGGAGAACCAGCTTGGGATTCACCCTGGGGAAAGGTAAATAACATCCCTGGGGAAAGGTAAACAACATCCCTGGGGAAAGTTAAACAACATCCCTGGGAAAAAGTAACCATCATGCAGCACAGAGTGCTATGCTATAAGGAGGGAATTTCAATGATAATTGCTGGTTAACATTATGTACCAGCCCTGTTCTCATGAATTCACTGTCTGTAGTCCTCATAATTCCTAACCTATTTCTCTCATGGGGAAAATGAACCAGTGATGATTCCTCAACTTGTCAATTTCCTATTTACAACCCAATTTGTAACAGATGGACAGAGAAACAGATGGATGGACAGACAGACAGACAGACAGAAAAACAGAAAGACAGTCACAGTTAAGCCATCAAGCAATATCAAGCAATCAAGCATTGTTTATCCATCCTTGTCATTAACTAAGTAGAAAGAGTCTGTTGGATAAGAGCTTTTGTAATATTATGCATTTGCATTGACAGTATGAGTAATTTTTCTGTCGTTAATTAACTCTCTCTACAGGGCCGGCCAGGGTGGCATGTGGAATGTTCTGTGATGGCAAGGTTTGTTTACTTTCAAAAAAAATCATTAGAAAATCTTCGTTGAATCTTTTACAGACAAAGTTTAATTGATTCATGTCCAGCATTGTTCTCACAAAAATGAACTAACATACATGACACAAGATAGCAATTCTTATAATAATTTATTCATGATAACTAGTAGTGCCCTGAAATGTTTGATGACTAATCGAGATGACTTGGATAACTTACAATAAGTTGTACATTGTTTAATCATTTGTTTTAGTGAGGTGTTAGGCAGCTCCATTGACATCCACACTGGTGGAGTAGATTTGAAATTTCCTCACCATGACAATGAACTTGCACAGTCTGAGGTAAAATTTTCGTTATTTTAGTAAGTCACTTCTTTTGTACTTTCATCACTCGTTGAAGATTAACTCAGCAGTCCAGCCTGGTGGTCTATTTGGCTGGTGTTTACTCCAGTTTCCATAGCATTAGGGGACTAGGAGTATTTCTACTCCGACCTGTATAAGATGCTAGTTTATTGCATGGCTACCCCCCCCAGCATTAAATTCACTGGTACACATTTATACACCCGGGTGGAGAGAGGCTCTGTGAGAGTAAAGTGGACATCTTGCTCAAGGACACAACACAATTGCTACAGCCAGTGCTTGAACCCAGACTCCTTGATCATGAGTCCGCAATAGATTTCACTCACAAGTGTTTTTATGATGATTGTTTGTTTTTTTAATGTTTTTTGTTTGTTTATCTTTACAGGCTCATTATGGTGTTTGTCAGTGGATCCATTACTTTCTTCATGCTGGACATTTGACGATAGAAGGATGTAAAATGTCCAAGTCTTTGAAAAATTTCATCACAATCAAAGTATATTTCGTAATTTATTTTTAACATTTCTTTAGCTATTTATCAATTTGGCCTGTCTTGACTCAGTCTCCAGAGTAAGAAAGAGTAAGTCCTTATTAACACAAGTTTTCCTTTGACGTTTTCAGGATGCTTTGGCGAGGAACTCCGCCAGACAAATCAGACTTGCTTTTCTTCTTCATGCATGGAACGCTACACTAGACTACAGTGAGAACGTGCTTCGTGAAGCAGAGCAGACTGACAAACTATTTAATGTAAGTCTGGTAACCAAGACACTCGACGACCCTTCTTCATAGACTATGTATTTGCTTTAGAATCATTAGTTTACTTGTATTTCTTTGTTAGGGTATTTCGTGTATTTCTTTATTTCTTCACTTCCCCTCGCCAACAGTCCGTCCGTCCATCTTTCCGTCTGTCTGTCCGTCCGTCCTTCCATCCATCCTTCCATCCATCTGCCTGTCTGTCTGTCCGTCTGTTTGCTTGTTATTCATTAAATAATTGTTTGCATTTACAGCAGACTGAAGTCAGCAAGCAACTCGTACTAAATCAATTTCCCTGTTTTCACTCTATTTAAAGTAGTTTACCCAAGCTACAGTTCATACGCTTTGTTTACTTGAGCTTTCCTTTAACGTAAACTCACGGTCCAGGATTGTACTTATTTGGTTTCTTTTTCAGGACTTTTTCTTGAATGTGAAAGATATTCTTAGAAAACCAGAGGACACGACGCCATCGGCACACAACTACCATGAACTAGAAAAAGATCTTCAAGAAAAGTAAGCATTTATATTTAAAATCGATTTATCTTGGCACTTGTAAACAACTCTGACGGTTTTAAAACACATGTCTTGCATGTTTATGAGGTACAGGAAAAAAAAAAGAGGTCTGTTGCGTCTGAAAATAGTGTAAACCATTCATGGGAGATAGAAGCTATTGTTGGTAATTTCGCCTGTTTATGGCTCAGTAACAGGAGCTACAATGGGCGGAAATAACGAAAACACAACGCAAACGTAAATAAACGGCAGTCGGATAGCATCAGGAGATCACAATTCTTGTATCGTTAGATACAGGATTTCTATTGACTGCAACATGGGAACTTGAATTTCAAGAGAGAATGTGGAAAAAACATTAAAGTAAAACAAAGTCAGCATGGCTTTTTGTAGATGCGAACTGACGAAATGAAGTCTGACAAATTGACATCTGTTATCCTGTAATTTATTTTCAGGTTCATGGCTAAAAAGGCAGCTGTACATGATGCCCTATGTGGTTAGTACAAGAATTCACCCACACATCCCTTATAGTCCTCATAACATATTGAACATGGAACATAATCAATACATTTTGTCATAATTACAGCTTCTTTTGATAATTTGCAAAGGAAAAAGAAATGTTATTTGTTGTTATTTTTTGTAGATTCAATTGACACACCAACAGCCTTGCGGCAAATGCAAGAACTGGTAAAACTAGCGAACATCTACATCAGCAGTAAAAAGGAGAGGAAAGAATCCCCAAATCATCAGCTGCTTGAAGGAATTGCTAAGTATCTCACTCAAATGCTCAAGGTGTGTTAAATTGCCCTATCTTAGCTCTCATGCTTCAAAATACGTATAGAAATTAGTTTTTGCCGACTTTCCCATTTAGATGTAATATATCAAACACGAGAGACAGTGTTTCATCGGGATATCCAAACACTGASAAGAGAGTTGAAAATACGACGCGCAGCGGAGTATTTTTGACGAAATTCGAGGTGTTTGGATAGCCGATGAAACACTGTCTCGAGTGTTTGATATATCTTTTCAATCGAAGCAAAAACTAAGGAGTAAACGGAGAAGTAAAATCGTCAAAATCTATGCTAATTAAGACCGGGTATCCAAACCTCTTTCACGGTTGTGATTTTCTTCGTTTTAACTTGATGAATTATTAATGAGTTTGAGAACCCGTAATAGACAACGAACTCCTGCAATGCTAGTGGCTTTTCTGAGAATTAGTATCATGTAACTAGCTGATGCCAAGACACTGTACATTAGTCTAGTTTGCTTTCTTTCGATCCTTCCTGTCCTATAATAATTTTTTTTCTTTTTCATCGATACAGATTTTCGGTGCGATCGAGGAAGAACAAGCAATTGGATTTCCTGTTGCCGGCAAAACTGCAGCAGCAAATGTAAGACACATAATATACTTTTCTACCTATACGGCGGCCATTTTGATTTCTATTGATTTGAAAGACACCGTGGGAAGCTCAGGGGAAAATTAGTATGTATTTGCCCCCCTAAGCATCCCATAATATAAAATTCGAAATGGCCGCCGAATCGTTAAAAAAGGTCTATTTGTTACTGTGTTTGTAATCTTTTGAATCAAGTGTCATTTTTCCAATATTAATTAAGTTTTAAGTTATCGGTTGGTTCCTCCTGAAAGTAATACAAATGATTCAATGAAATTGTCATGGGTGTAGGAGACATTTTGTAGGCCAATTCAGCGTATTAAGCGCAGAACTGAATAAAACCATACAAAGTCAATCACTGCTGTCAGTAACCAATGAGAGATTAATAAAAAAATCGCGGATGCTTCAGAGCGAGGGAAATTGGATTTAGCTTTGCGCATGATTGGTCAGAAAAAATCTGTAACCACGCACTGATTGGTTTATATTGTCGTATGCGTCTTTTATCCAAATGTGGAATTGCGCAAGTGCAAAGCCACAAAAAATTAAAATATATGTCGGAAGGGTATTTCAAGACCAGCTTGTTGTGCTTTCGTCAGACTTTTCTCACCAGTAAGCAAGAAGCGATGTGTGTATTTTTTTTTTGTAGCACGAAGAGGTTGCAATGCCATATGTGCAGCTACTTGCCGATTTTAGAGAAGAGGTCAGGAACGTGGCACGAGAAGTAAAAGGTAAACCGACTTTATCCAGTTTGAACCAAGTACATACTTGTCCGGTTTGGAAATAATTGAATTGAATGACGTAGTTTAACAGTATTAAGTTGAAAAACTTTATGTAGGACTAAGCGATGAATGTTGCCTTATGGGATTTTTCCAAGCCTCAAGGCCTCGTCATGCGTTTTTATTTTAGAAGTTTTTTCGGAAAGAAATGGAACTGGTTGGAATTAACGTAACATTTTTTTGTTTTGCAGTGACTAAAATCCTCCAAGCTTGTGATAGACTGAGGGATGACAGTTTACCAGAACTAGGAGTAAAACTGGAGGACGTCGAAGGTTAGCGTGGAGGGTTCATTTGGACAGTTTTACTAATTTGAATGCTGTTATGTTATGATTCCATTGAGGTAACAAAGGCTAGTGTTGTGCTCTTTGATTCCAGACCCCTTGGTTCGCTCACGGTTTTTGATAGAGTGTCGTTTAAACCAGAACCAAATAATCACTGTGGCCAAACACAAATGACACCCGGGGTGGGGGGGGNTTGGGTGGGTGTGTGCGGCCCGCTTCCCAAAACCCTTACCCTATTTATGACCAAAGTGTGCGATTTTTGCGACCCTTTTTATGGCCTGGCCAAAAATTTGACACCCTATTTATGACCGTTGTGGCTGGCACAGTTGCCCTAAACATACGTTATGAAGGGCTTTTGTTGTTGGTCTTATTGATAATGATGAAAAAGTAGCTTCTTCTAAGAAACATACCCTATTTATGACCAAAACGGCTGAAAAACCCTACCCTTTGCAGTGTTTCAGCCAGAAAATTTTACTTAAGGGCCAAAGTGGCCCCTGAAGATCTTTTTTAGGGGCCAATTTTTTTAGGAAAGGGGCCAATAAATT